CAAAAACATGGTCTTTCTCTCTTTGTAAGGGAATAGAATTGTTTAGTTCCCTTTGTCACAATTAGCTAAGCTCGTTAAAGCAATCAACAGCCATTCAACCACATTTACTGAGATTGAGCAGCCTATTTAGTGATTACAAGTTTGGCCTCTGATTTCAAACTATCTGGGTTTGAATCCTGACCCTACCTTCTACTAGCTCTGTGACCTTGCACAAGTTACTTAACCTCTCATTGCATCAGGTTCCTCCTTTGTAAAACGGGATGATGGTGGTGTCTATCTTACAGGATTGTTGTGATGGTTATGGAAGTTGATATATGTAAAGCACCTGGCGAAGCCTCTGCACAGAGTAAGTGCACAGCAACCATAGTTGTTATTATTACTCTAATGAGCAAAACACAGTCCCTGCCCTCCAGGAATCCAGAGACTCTGAGAAGAAGACACACTGAAATTGCAAAGGAGCAACAGCTGGCTGTGATAGAAGCCGAGAGAAAGGAGCTCCAGACAAGCTGGGGAGGAAATAGGTATCTCCTAGGTGGGCTCGGGTGGCTAGCAGAAAAGAGGCATTCGAAGTGGAACGCCCCGCCAGGATAAACACGGAGGCGTGACCCAGCAGGGTGCTGCTTCCAAGCTTCTGTTTTTCAGACTCCACATCACAATTTTTACTCTCACTTACCTATATTTTAAACCAGCTTTAAAAATTGTGTAAATCATTTATTTAAAGGAAGCTCTGTATCACTACAAAATTGAAGTCACTTTCCATCGTGGATTTGATGGGCTCTTCTAATACACGTCCAAAGAATCATAACTAAGAAAGTACATATTGGTATTGTACATAAAAAGTCACCTCCCAAGTCAATTTTTGGGACACCTGCTGTAGGGGAGACTTCTGACCGTGACCAGAGGCCAAAAGGTACTGGCACCAGCACTGGTCAGCCTTTTCTTGGTGGCCCAGGCTGCAATGGAGGTGCTTGGTAACTCATTTTATCTCAGCACTGTGTTTATATGTGGGGTACAATTGAAAAAAAGAGGCCAGTTTCCAGTCACATCTCCTTCCAGGCACAGTTTGTATCTCTTATCTTTCCTCATTCTGGGCTTTTGGCGTTAAGGAGGTAATATGAAGCAGAGTTTGAAGAAATGTCAGTCTCAGAATGAAAACTATAAAACTTTAATTGTAAAAATTCTATGAGAATAGACTTCAGGGAGCTGGCAGGGTAGTGTAGTAGTTAGGTTCCTGCATTCCACTTCGGCGGCACAGGGTTAACAGGTTTGGGTCCCGGGCATGAACTTAGCACCACTCATCAAGCCATGCTGTGGTGGCATCCCACATAAAATAGAGGAGGATTGGCACAGATGTTAGCTCAGCAACAATATTCCTCAAGCAAAAAGAGGAATATTGGCAACAGATGTTAGCTCAGGGCCAATCTTCCTCACAAAAAGAAAAGGAAGAAAAAGAATAGACTTCATGGCTAGTGAGACTGCAGTTTGATTGTGGTCCTCTAAACAGTTTAATATTCCTGATGTCTCCTGTGGGAAGATCCCAACAGACCCCATTGCTTCAGGTCGACCCATACTACTAGTGAAAAAGGAAAAGAACTGCCTCGGCCTTGCATCAGTAGTGAGAGATCATTGATAGTTTTAGGGGAATAAATGTTGGTTTCAAGGCATTAAATCCATAGGAAAGAAAACTCTTATGGAAAAGGCACCTTGTCTAGGAACAAAGAGAAAAATATTTTTTCTAGGGACAAAGCCAAAAATACAAACCAAAAGGAAAAGAGCTCTAAAAAAATTTTTTTTTTATATTACTGATTTTGTTTCTAGAATCACAAGCTTTCTGTAGCAGAGATATTTTCATTTATTTAGCAAACAAAATTCCGATTCTGCACCTTGCTAGGTGCTGTGAATTCAGTGGTAAATAAGATGGATGTGGTTACTGTGCTCATAAAGGTTAGATTCTATTGGAAGAAGACAGACATTAACAAACTATTTCCTGAGTGATAAGTGCTACAAAGAAGAAATACAAGGAGCCATGGGAAGGTTCAGCAGAGAGACCTGATCTGATGCCCATGGTTAGGGGAGGGGGAGGGGATTTCCTGAGACATCCATGTTTTCAATGGGACCTGAAGGATGAGTAGGGGTTGGTCAGGGAAATAGGAGGGGGTCAGGGCAGAGCCTACTAGAAAGAGGTAGCAGATGGTTATGTACCCCTAGGGTAAGAAAGAACGTGATTCCCTCAGAGAACTAAAAGAAGTCCAATAAGAAAAGAACAAAAGAAGCATTTTTCTTTACCTGCCTTTTCTCTCAAGACTTGGAAGGAAGTGGTTGGCCAGACTTGTTAATACCGCACAATGGGGAATACAGCTTTAGACCCTTCTCTCTGGAAATCTTTAGGATTTAGGTTTTCTGGGTCACCTGATATTGGCAAGAGAGACAGCACTCATCTCCCTTTCACAATTAGTTTTCAAAACATTTAAACATTAATTGACATGTTTTGAAAATAGTCCTATTAAATATCAATTGTTAGTTCTGCTTGTTACCTCGAGTAACCTCACTGCAGGGCTTGTGTATCAGATTATGGCATATGATCAGTCACAGTTTGAAGTTGTGGTTCTTAGAGAGTAGAAGGAAACTGATTAAAGTCAGACTTTTGAGAAGGTTGCTGCTGTTTTAATATGCCAGACCTCCACTTTTCTCCTTAAGTGTCATGCAGTCAAGGAAGTTTTGTCTGTTAATGACAGGGAAGTGAAGCAATCATTAATAGAAGTTAGTTACAGACTCTCTGCCCCTCACAGGAACTGACTCACATATTTTCGTATGAAACCATGGAGTTTTAGGGAGAGCCAGAAACGCAGAAACCTGTTTCCCTACCAGGAAAAATGTCATCATCTTTTACGATTAGCCACAAAGCATGATGTTCTCTTTTGGCTTTTATGAATTCCTTTTAAGCATCATGAACGTCAGAATTGGTGTTGAATATAACTTTAGGCCTTTTAGCTTTTGAATTGGGTGAAGTAGTGCTTTCAAGCTTTTCCTCAAATGGTTAGGCCTTAGTTTGTTCCTCATTACTCAAGAAAGGTCAGCAGGGTCAGGATAAGTAGGCGGGGCAATCGTATTCCAAAGAAAAATTCTTTGTAAGATGAATTCCTTGCAGGTGCTTAGAATTTCTAGATAAACACACCTCTTCCAGCTTTCATCTGCATTCTTTAGATGCCCAAATTCTCATAAGCTCAGGACCACCCTAAAGCATACCATTTCCATATATGACCCCTCCTGCTTGGGTTGGGAATGGGTTGTGTTCCCAAAAGGCAGTGAGCAGCCTACTTCCCGATCCTGATGAGCCTGTTTGAGGGAAGTCCAGGACTCATAATGAGGTGTCCCAGTGCCTGGCCCTGCTAGTCACTCGCCAATCTGTTCTCCTTGTCTTCCCAGCCTACCCTTTTGTTACAGGCAGTACAGAATTCATTCTCCTAAATTGGACTAATCAGAATCCTCCAGTAGTGGGACATTTTTTTGTATCTTCTCTGAATTTCTTTTAAATGTAGAAGTAAATAGTAAAGAAGTAGGGTAAGGTTTTTGCATAAGTAGAAAAGAAAGGAAACACCTAATGTCCATCAACAGGAGGAGAGACAAGTATGTTGGGATGTCATCATACAGTGGGCAGAATTGCGGTACTGAGAATGTATGAACTAGAGCTAAATGTAACGGCATGGGTGAATATTACAGATATGAGCAAAAAAGCAAATTGCAGAAGAACATAATACCTTTTATATATATAAAAATTTTAAGCTTGCAAAGCAATACTATACAATGTTAAGTGTAAAGATATGTGTGAGAAAGATAAAAAATTCAGGATAGCGGTTTCTAGGAGAGATGAAGGGGAATTTGATTTGGAAGGGGTACAGTGGGAGTTTCAACTATATATATATTTATTCTTTAAGGTCCATTGTGAATATATGGCTGTTAGTTATATTATTCTCTGTGTCTTTTTGTATATCTGAAATATTTCATAATAAAAATAACTTAAAGATGACAGGGATTTAATTTTTAAAAATAGTTAGCTTTAGGGAATATACTTGGGTCAATTCTCATTTAGCCAATCCTCTGAAATTAAAACTGATGTTTTAGAGTAAAAACCCAGAGGGGCCACAAGATCTTCAGTCATCAGAAAGACTTTCCATTATAGTACGGTTCTTATGTGGACAAGAAGTAGACGAAGAATTTTGAGAAATATTTTCAACAAAGTTACAGATCTCTGGGTGGAATTGAGCCTCCAGACTCATTTTGTTTTGCCTTCATGGGATTCATATTTTCAAAAATAATAAATGTATCTTTTTTGAGATTTCATATTTTAAAAATCTGGATTGCTACCTATTGTTAAACTATCAGGGAATCTGGCCTTCCTAGGCCCTTGTTTCTACATGGCAGCAGCTGGCTGGGGCTGAGTAGCAACTGTCCCCTTTCAAGGGGGCACTCCTCTCCAGTTGGCCACTATCCCCACCCACCAGGTTCCTTTACTTTGTTACCTGTCAGGCCCTGGAGGCCCTTGAGTTTGCAACCCCTGCATTAAATTCAAGTTCTGACTTAAGTGGAAAATTCAGTTATCCTAAATGTGCTTTCTCCTAGGCACTCAGGTTAGTGATATAATTTTACCAGAATACACACTAAAAGCATCATTCCTAGGATATTCTGGTAAAGAATTTACCAGTTTAAAGAATAGTAAATGTGAATTTTGGTTTTACCATGTTTGTAAAAATGGCTGTCATCACAAATGGTGTGGGTGAGCAACCCGCAACTGTAGGATGGTGTACAAGGCCAGCTGAGAGAGAGCTGGTATTCCTACAGTGCTGTTCTGGCAGTGCTACCAACCAGATCTGTTGAGAAAGAGCAATTATTTCTAGACTAATTAAAGAGCTTGATTAAAAAAATGTACATCTGCCTAGCTGCCTACTGTCAAATTGAATTTTTATGCAAATTTTCCCTCTTCTATTTTGGTGGGTCTGAAGATGACAACAGCAACACGACAAGAAGTTCTTGGCCTCTACCGCAGAATTTTCAGGCTTGCAAGGAAATGGCAGGCGGCATCAGGGCAGATGGAAGACACCATTAAAGAAAAACAGTACATAGTAAATGAAGCCAGAATGCTGTTCCAGAAAAACAAAAATGTAAGTAGGCCCCACTTGGAGATTGCAAGGAGGAGAACAATTTCTTGTGGTGTTTGTTCACTTCGTTTCTGTCCTAACATTGAGAGGACTGAGCAGCACAAGTCACAGTGACAGAGTGTGGAGCAAGAAGGGGCCAAAGGCGCAGCCTAGCTAGCTTGCCCAACCAGTGGGAAGCAGAGCCCAGCCTGGTTTCTCTCTTCACTTGTTTCAGGTCTTGGTCCAACTGGTAAGTGGCTCAGCGTCCTCAGAAGACCCCATGACCCAGGTGACACAAGTCAGGCCAATGAGAATTTTCAGGGGAGGAGCAGTTCCTTACGCCCTTGGGTCTGTTGCCGACCACTCCCACAGGAGCTGTGCAGTTAAGTTTTCTTTTTCACTTCATAAGCTATTCAAAGCTTCTAAGTTATAAACCATTCAGAAGGAAGAGACTAGGATTAAGACACAGGGTTCCCTTCATAATTTAGCTTTGAACTCAAGCCTCTTTGGCCAGCAGACTGAGTTTGCCCTTTGGGACCACAGAATTGAGTAAAATAGTGCCTCCATTAGCTACTTTAATGAAACAGCACACCCAGACCCCAGGCAGCTAAAAGCCATTTCTAAAAGGCTTGATTTTGACCCATCCCAACAAACCATAAAGCATTATCTCTTAGCTCCTTAGGAAGACTGCCTGGCACCAAGCATGGAAAGAGGCTTTCAGCTCCTGACTTTTCATTTTTACCTCCTTCTCATTAACCTCACGGATTCAGTGCTGTCATTGTTCCCCTCATGAAACTTCCTGACAATCTACTCTCTTTACTTTTCCTTCTCTGACCCCGTCTCTGTCTCCTTTGTGGCCCTTTTTTCTCCACACACCCTCCTGCCAGCTGTAGGGGTCTGCTGAAGGTCAGCCCTCTGCCCTGAGGCCTGAGGAGCATGCAACCACCTTATGATTCCAGCTTCCATATCTGGATACTCAGCCTCGGCCTCTCATGAGCCAGCTGAAGGCCCACACAACAAGCATAATGATCCAAAGCAGAACTGATCTTTCCACAAGAACACCTCCCCTTCCCAGCTTGCACACTTCTATCATGGCTCCTGTCACCCCTCTGCAATCCTTTGCTCTCATTCTTTCCTTCAACAAATATTTGAGTGCCCACCATGTGCCAAACACCAGACTAGACGGTGGGGATATAAAATGAGCAAAACTGAGACATGGTCCCTCAGAGGTGTTTCAGAGTTAGATGGAAAGAAATGTAAAATTACAATCGGGATCAGTGCTACAAAAGAAACCCTCCTACTCTGCAGCCCCTTCCTTCCTGGAAGCCCTGGAGCCCATGCTGTATAGGGCCAGCGTGCTTGTGAAGCTTCTCTCTGCCCTTATGACCGTCCTCCAGCTTCTCCAAGCTGGAGCTGCTCCTCGTGTAGACCATGTGTGCCCCGGCAGAGTGCAACAGTCTTCTGAGGAATGTAAAGAAAGACTGCAACTGCTGTTTCTATTTATTTTTATCGCATTCTTTAAAAATAGCCATTTTGTGTATATTTATAATGAACTTATTTGTACATTTAATGAACTTAATACTTCATTTATAAATCGACATAAATACATATATCTGAGCTGTGGGCTCAGAAATTTTTATTGAAAAGAGTAGACGATCAAAAACTTTGGAGACCACTGACCTCCACCTACTCCTAAGTAGTTAGTCCTATTCTCTTTTTCTTCTTGTTTGCTTCATTTATGTTGGTGTAGTCTTCCCAACCAGATTGCGAGTTCTTTGAGCACACAGACAATATCTTGTACTTTTCTCCTATATACCATGGACCCTGCCTTGTGGTTGTCACTAAATTAATGAGCATTTACAAATACTTGGTTTATTTATTATTATTTATTTATTTATTTGAGGATGATTAGCCCTGAGCTAACTACTGCCAACCCTCCTCTTTTTGCTGAGGAAGACTGGCCCTGCCAGTCTTCCTGTACTTTGTATGTGGGATGCCTACCACAGCATGGTTTTTCCCAAGCAGTGCCATGTCCACACTCAGGATCCGAACCAGTGAACCCCGGGCCACTGAGAAGCGGAATGTGCGAACTTAACCCCTGCTCCACCAGGCCAGCCCCACAAATGCTTTGATTCAATTGACCTTCTCCAGGAAGTCTTCCTCAATTTCTCTGCCCTCACCCCACCCCACGTGGCCCCTATTCTAAATTCCTGTATAGAAGTCTGCAGCAGTCATTGCCTTTGTTGATTATATACTAGTGTGCCTCTTCTATAGCTTCCTGTGTCAGAGTTGTTGTTCTGCCCAGGTAATAAGCTTGATAGGTGAAGGCAGGGACCATGGCCTCACAATGTCCAGCCTGGTGCTTGGGATATCATAGTAGTATGTGCCCAGTAAACCTTTGCAGCGTCACTCACCTGAGGACTGCTCAAGACCCTTTGGGATTTTAGTTATGGCGATAATCAATCTTTCCTTTGCCTCTGCTTGAATTGACCCAATGTGGTGTGAGCCAGAGGGAGGTGTATGGGCCAGTGATGGTACGTGAGTGAGATTAAAGAAAATAGAACATCAGACAATTTCACAAATACTATGATTAGGAGAGAGTATGTTTACAGAAAAACTTCAATATTAGTATAGATGGTACATAACATGGCAAAACCACACAGGTAATATCTGAATGAATTTGGAAAACTCTAACCCAAACTTGGTCAGAGGGGCAGCTGGAGCCCTAGGAGGCCTCAGCCCCCAACCATATCTTTATCAGAGGCTTCTTTCTCCCCAATTCCTCACGAGGACATAGTAGTTTCTCGTATGCTCACTTTCTGTAAGAGCTTAATAATAATCCAAAGGTATCTCGTGAGCTGTTCTGAATCCTGTTGGGCAAATGGGAACATAAAATCTGTTCTCAAGGTGGACATTACAACAACAGCTTCTGAGAAGCGCAGAGGTCAGAAAGCAGAGCCTCTGCCCCAAGGGACTCAGCTGTGATTCTGTGCACTACACTTCCTGGAAGTCTTCTCTGCCTCAAGAGGTACCATAGGACAGGAGTGCCTTAGAATTTCCAAGCCATGCCAGCCCAGACATCACTGTGGGTGTCATCTGGGGCTGATGCAATCCCAGCTCTGCTCTGAGGCCCACTTGCAAACCCTTAACAGAGCCACATGTTGACTCATTTCCCGTCCTCAGAATGAAAGCATTTCTTCCCTTCTCCTACCTGGCTTTCTGTTTTTCAGAATGAACTTTTCATTCCTTTACTTGAAACTGGACTACCACAATTTGACTATTATGGAATTTCAAAAGTCATTTCTTCCTTTCACTGATAATGAGCAAGAAAGTTTACAGCTCAAAATAAGAGGTGGATTATTCCCTAGTATCTTACTCAGGGGGTTTTTAGACAATGGAGAAGCACTTCTCATTCAGTGCTGGTGAAAATGTAATTTAGATTTTATTCATGGTGATGTAAATTGGTACAATCTCCTAGAAGGTAATTTGAATCTAGATGGAATATCTGAGAATTAAAAATGCATGAACAGGGCCAGCCCCAGTGGCCTAGTGGTTAAGTTCAGCGCACTCCACTTCAGTGGCCTGGGTTCAGTTCCCAGGCATGGACCTACACCACTCATCTGTCAGTGGCCATGCTGTGGCAGTGGCTTACATGCAAAAAGAGGAAGATTGGCAATGGATGCTAGCTCATGGCGAATCTTTCCCAGCAAAAAAAGAAAAGAAAAATGCATGAACATATACTTTCTGATCCAGCAGTTTTCTCTTTAGGAATGTATCTTTTAGATAAATTTTTAGAGGAATCCATAATAGAATTGTTTATAATGGCAAAAGATTGGAAATAACCTAAATGTCCTTCAGTAGAAGATTGACTAAATTATAACACAGCCTTATGTTGGAATTTTGTGCAGCTGTTAAAAACAATGGGGCAGCTCTATATGTGTAATATAGAAGGAGCTTCAAGTTGTTAGTAGAAAAAGAAAAAGCAAGATTCAGAACAATGAGCTATCATTTGTGTAAGAAAAGAAAACTATGTACATATATGCTTATATATGCATAGAATGTCCCTGGAAGGACAAACAGGAAACTGCCAATAATGTCTCTGAGAAGGGAAACTGGGAGACAGGGGCAAGAGGGAGAGTTCGTTTTTAGATTCTGTCCTTTCGAATTATCTGAATTATTTTTACCATGTGCTTCTATTACTTATTTCAATAATTTTTAAATTAATCCACAGTAAGCTTTATATTAAATTGCTTTTGATTTTTCAAGTTATCAATATTTAAATGACTGGCTATGAACTGAAAAAGTTTAAGAAAATGTACATCTATACTTTATGTAGCATTAGAAAGATGCTAATAGCCTCACTTGTTTTCCTCTTTTAATAGCTCACGGACACAGATCTGATTAAGCAGTGTATAGATGAATGCACAGCCAGGATTGAAATTGGACTGCATTACCAGATTCCTTACCCAAGGCCAGTAAGTGTGACTCCAGTTAACATGTGATATGATCCTCATCAACCCCATTATTTCCAAGAATGTGTACGAAGGCTAATGTTTGCCAAGAAGTCTAGAGCTACTGAAGGAGGCGTGTTGGAAATAAACTGTCCTTGCATGCCACCAACCCATCACAACAAACTAAAATGTCAATAAATGTCTGATTTCTCCTACTTGTACAACTTTCCCACATATGGAAGGGAAAGCCAGCTCACATTTATATCGCTTTCTCTTTTGGCTTTCACCTTTTTTATGGAAATATATTTTTGTCATAAAAGATAGGTTTGTTGTTAATAAAAGAATAAAGTTCAAATATTAAAGGAATGCATAAGGTAGAAGGTGAAAATTGCCAAAAATTCTCACCCTGTGGGAGTGATACTATTACATTGGACCATATGAAATTGCCAGTATTCTACTTTTGACCTACAGAAACAGCAATTTTATATTGTATTGGCTCAGCCTAATAGTTTGGTAATATATCCGTTAGTCTTTTTTCCTATACTCATGTACATACGTTTTCTTAAAGTACATAGGACCCTGGGCCTACTGTTTGTTGCCTACTTATTTTACTTCATCTCTTCTGGACATCTCTGCTCCATCTTTTAAATGGTTGCCTTGTATCCTATTATAAGAATGGGCCATAACTTAACCAGCACCCTTTCAGTAGGCATTTAGGTTGGTCCCAGTTTTCCACTGCGCACAGAATATCTTTGTACACACGCTTTTTTCCTCACCTTCTTTGGATTCTCATCTCACTGTGTGGTCTCTGGTCATTTTTTCCTCCGTGCAGGCAATATGGCAAAGAGCACAAGCTCTGGAATCAGACACATCTGGATTCAAATCCTGGCTCTACCATTTAATGTATAATCTTGAGCAAGTTATTTAATTTCCGAGTTTCTATTTTCTCATCTATAAATACTGGAATACTTTCTTATGAGATTATTGTGAAGATTAATGTATGTGGGGATTATGAGGATTAATGAGTCAGTGTAGATTTAGTGCTTAGCAGAGAGCATGGTACTTAGTAAATCCTCACTGAATATAAGCTGCTGCAATGATTATAATTCTTAATATTATCATTATTCTTATTCAGATTCATCTGCCTCCAATGGGCCTTATCCCACTACGAGGCCGGGGACTTCGAAGCCAGGAAAAATTGAGGAAGCTTTCCAAACCAGTCTATCTCCAGTCTCATGATGAGGTTTCCTAACCCAGAAAAAAGTTTGTTTCTCCGAAGGATGAGCCACTAGTTCTTGAATGTAAACCAGATGAACAAAACCCTTCTTCTTGATTGGGATAAAAATTCAAATATCTTCCCAAATATCATATCGTCCAAAATATTGGTACTCATTTCATGATGTGTGCTCACACGTCCCTACAGTTGGTCAGGGTCTTGCTGCCTGAGTGGACAACACTAACGCTAGGGGTCATGGACCTTACATCCTCGCTGAAGCATCATTTGGAAACAAGATAAAGCCTGTGGGAGGAAGACTGAAGGATGACAAAGCTTTTCATGGGAATGCCATTCGCCAGACATGCCAGCTGATACAAAGAAATTAGCCAGTCGCTGGATGTTCTCATGACTACTATAAAACTATATACCACTCTCAGAATATTTTTAAGTTTTTTTCACATTACAGATTTACTTAAAGTGGGCTTTTTTTCCTGTGTTTTGTTGTTTTTTGACCCTTCCAATTTCCACATAAACCATGATTATTTAATTTTATATGAGCTCTGTCCCTGCCCCCGACATACACACACACAAAAGCGCGTGTCTTTGTTTACACGCATATGTTTACTTTATCTTAATCCCTCTGCTTACTTAGGATGCACTTATGATCTGAAAGGCTCACTTGAAACTCATACTGCATTCATTATGAGTATTTTACCTTAACATAATTAGAAAGTACAAGGGCCAAGCTGGCTTTCAAATTATGTCTAAAGAGAAATGGAACAAGGAGAGATCAAAACATGAAAGATTTACACCACTGTGTGTGCGGAGTCAGAGGAGATACCAACAGCAAGTCATTTGTACATCAGTATCATTCCCTGTTAGCTCCAAAGAGGATGGGCATCACCAATAAAAACAAGTCTCTATCAATTTTGGTCTCTGTATTCTTTTCCAAAATGGTCTTGTGACCCTCAGAAGCAGCAGTTGATGACTTCCTGCCCATACATAGATGTAGGATTCCCTTGTTGTACAGATCTTCTCATTCTAGATAAGCATTGTATTTCAATCTCAAAACCTGCTCCTGTGAGCAGGAGCACACTTTTTCATGCTCAGGGTAAGTATTGCAGGGTTTGGCAATGACATGAAAAACAAATATAATACTGTGTTAGTGGGGTAATAGCATATGCATATTTAACACAGTTGCAGCTATAGGTCTTTGGTAAAGAGAGGCAGAGAAATTTAAATATGCTGGCAGGTGTGTTGGCCATTCAGTGAGCACATACTCCAACCTAGTTTGAATTGTGAGACAGGAAGCTGCTGTTCCATCAGTCACTTTCCTTCCATCTGGTCTCATTGTGGAAGCATCTCCCTGCCTGGAGGTGGTTCTAATGTTTAAGTATTTCTCATGCAACATAGGGCCTGTGAACCCAAGCCAACTACTTCATCTGGTGGTCAACCAAAGAAACAGTGATCTGTTCTTGCATTGGAAGAAAAACTGGCTGTGCTGGACTGAGTGAGACATGGCTTGCCTGTCTCGATCGTGGTCCCTTTCTAAATAACTCGAAGTGATTTTGACTGTACAATTTTTGTCTCACTCTGTTGAGTGTAGAAGAAACCTTCTCACCCAGCCTCCTCCAAGTTGGAAGTCCATCTAATTGCTAGCTAGTCTCTTGTGTGTGGCAGGAATCTTACCTAAATGTGAATTTTATATGCCTAGCCTCCTTTGCAAAGATGCATATGCAAGTACACAAAAAGAGAATTGTCAATTTCCTACCAAACCTTCCATGTAACCTATGTTTGTTCATAATAGGTTTTTTTTCCTTCATTGTCTCTCCAAGACTATAAGATCTTCATCTTTGGACTTTCAAAGGCAGAATCTATCTTCCCTATATCCCCTCTTCCAATGAAATTTTCTTCCAATGCTGACAAGGACTGAAAACTATAACTATTTACTCAACGGCTAGATTTTTAAAGAGCAAGGACTAGCTTGGTGACAAAGTTTGTCTGATGTCATCTGCTGAGCTATTTATAGGGAGGGCCTGCAGCTTCTCATCAAGCTGATCGCTGGCCATCTCTGCCCAAGGACTCCAGCCCCTAACTCACCAGGATTTCTGAAGAACATACTGCTCTTTCCCAGGGGGAGACTTTAATTACCACATTGGCCCCAACAGAAAATGACCTCAAATTTTTAAATTATAAAAATTTAATCCATCACACAGAAACATTCTGTCCCTTGACCCCTGAGGAATGAAACGGTCAGTCCCTGCCTCCCTCAGCTTTTGGTTGCTGAAGCTGGAGTTAGATAACATTAAAAATCAATTGTTCTCTTAGCAACTCCCTCACTGCCTTACAGCTTGCAATGTGACTTACCTAACCAGTCCAAGACTCAGGGATTTGGGATCCTGACCATCTTTCCATCTCACATGACTAACAATCCTTTTGAGAATGATATGGCAGTTTCAGCTATCTATCCATTCTGATTTTCTTTCCTCCATTGGAAAAAGTTGGGGTTTTTTTGAAAAAGTAGCTATTAAGCTACCTACTTTGAGTTGAAGGAGACTGACTCCTCCTACCTCTTTATTGCCCCCTGGCAGATTTGGAGAACTCCCCTTTTGCACTTAATCTCTAGGATCACTTAGATGATTTGCTGATTTCAGAATTCAGAGTCCTCAATCCGAATTCGATTGGCTACACGTTCCCATGAAGAAACAGGGTTTCTGGAATATGTTTGTTTGGTTCTCAGAAGCTTCCTGCATTCAGGAAAAATCAAAGACCCCAAGTCAGGACATTTCTTCTAGTGAAGAGGCAGAGAAGCCAGGCCAGATGCATTAAGACTCTCAAACAGCCTTATGTCTTTGCTCAACTATGAACTGACCAATGGAATGCCCTGAAAGTAGCTACACAGAGCCAAAGAGCTACATGAGAGAGTCTGTTGCGAAGTAGTACATCAAGAATTTGATTTTTATCTCCACGAGATTCTCTTCCAGCTGGCCCTGGGGAAAAACAGTGATAAATTAGAAATTTCTCGGACATGGTTGTTGGAGCTACATGTCTCTTCTAAGATTCTACATCACAACATAGCCAAGTCCTTGGCAGGGAGGTAGCATGTGGCAGTGAAAAATGCATGGGTTCTAGAGCCAGACAGACTTCAGCTCAAAACTAGCTCTGTAATGTGAAAGAGCTGGGTACTCTTAGGCAGGTTACTTAATCTCCCTGAACCTCCAGAGGGAGAGACAAGCATACCCATCACATAGGAACAAGCAAGATATCTAAAGGTGTGGGCACAACCCCGGTCACGGTAGGCGTCCAACACATGTTGGTTCTCTCACATCTCCTTTCTTCCTGCAATTTCAGCCCATCTGTGTAGGCTAGAAGAAAAGCTTTGGGGTCCCAGTTCTACCACTGCCTAGCTGTGGGACTCTGGGCTAGTTACTTTTCTAAGCCTCTGTTTCTACATCTCTAAAATGGAGATAATGATAATACCTACCTTATAAGATTGTTGTGAGAAGCACATTTTAAATATATCAAGAGCCTTAAAAAATCTAAGTGACCCAAACCTCTTTCAACCTGTGAGATGCCCTAATGTTAACCCATGTGGAGAGAGTAGGAAAGAAGCAATAAAAATTCAGTGACAGTTACAGCAAAATAATAGGAAAAGAATAACTGCAGGGGAGCTTAGACAAATGGCCAAAGGTCTAGGCTGAAGAGTCCCACTGCCTGTGTTCAAATCCAGGCTCTTCTATTTTAGTAGCTATCTGATTTGGGGATTACTTAACTTCTCTGTATCATAGTTTTTGCAGACATAAAATGAAGATAATAATAATAACCTATTTTATAGGGATGCTCTGAAATACCTGGCTTATAGCAAGTGTTCTATTAATAGAACTGTCATCATCATCATCATACCATGAAACTCTCAAGACAAGAAAGCTAGGTTATAGCTGAGAATGAAATGTCTTTTATTTTCTGTGTTGAGTCAGATGCCATCAGTTATCCAGCTGGCATAGTGAGGCTACACCTCGGTTTATCCAGTGCTTCTGGGGCCTGGCTGTCGGGAGTTCAATGGAGAGGACATAGTTGGTGGAGTGGCCTGTGGTGGAGAGGGTGCCTCTCCGGGCACTTGTTTTGTAGACTGGACACACATAAATATTCTGATGCAGAAACATGGCACTTTCCCCAGGTTTCAGCCAAATAATGGGTAATGGGTCATAGAGGATTTTGGGGAGAGACTCCCCAATTTGCATCGTTTTCCTGTCCCAACGGGCACCTTCTAAGAAGAGTCCTTTTATGTAGGCCCCATCTTCTGGGTTACTCTCCATGACTGTTTCTTGTGTGGTTACCTGGAAGAGAGAAAGCTGTGAATTCCATTACCTGCCATTTTCCTAAATGAGGCAGCCAGAAAAGTGCAATCTGGCTGCAATGTCTGCCTTTCCTGGGATGCATCTCCCAGGGCACTGGGGCTTCTGTGATAATCTTCCTACAGGTCATATGTGGGCCTAGTCAGCATGCTGCCCCTATATATGTGGGCATAGAGAATGCACTAAAGTAGTAGTCAGGAGGCCACATTAACTGTAACTAGCTTAGTGACCTTGCATAACCTTCCCTTTTCTGGACCTGGATCTATAGAGTGGGGTTAGAGTCAGATGCATGTTGGTAAAACAGTTCTCTGGGGGGAAAAGTAAACCCTTGATTTGTAGTTTTTGTCAATTTCTGTAGTGTAAAGATTCTCATCACGGTCAATTTCAGGCTATCAATATTTAACAACCAGCTCCAACTGGCTCTGTTGAGTTGTTATGAGCCAGCTCCAGCACAACACTGTTTAGATTCAGAGGTGGTAAACTCAAATTCCATCAGGTAGGGGCAGAAAATGGTCTAGATGTAGGAGAATAGGGAGTGGGGGGTGGGGATTATGGTGAACCAGAGAGCACAAGTTCCATTTGAAATCATTCAAATTCTAATCTTTTTGTTACTGTGAATGGAAAGTTTTTCTCATTTCTACTTCTAAGTACTTACTGCTAGAATAGGAAAAGGCTATTGACTTTTGTATATTTGACCAGTATTCAGTCACCTTACGAATTCTTCTATTTATTCTGATAGGTATGTTTTTAGAGTCTCTTGGGATTGTAGGTATATAATCATTTCAACATAAAAAAATATGGTTTTCTTTTTTCCAATGCTTACCCCAGTTATTTTGTTTCTTATAGCATTAATTTTGGCTTAACATTGTCTTCAAAGCCCCATCAAGTTAAGTTCATTCATAAACTAAATTAAGACCTAGGGCAAGCAGTTTGTGACCTCTGGACTAGATGATCTCAAAGGATCTTTTCATAGAATTTAAAATTCTACAATGCTCTATAACAGTCCATCTTACTCCTTTCTCTTCATATATGGACAGGGTGATACTTGACTATTGGCCATTCCTTTGACTTTACTCCAAGCAAAAGACTACCCAAGAGCATTAACATTCTTCCAAATGAAGAGTCCACCAAGTTGAATAGACAGCATGGGAGGATGCTTCCAGTTTTCTTGGTATGATGGTGGCAGAGTTTTCCTCTGGTAAGAAAATGATTATATTCCCTTTTATATACACAAAGCCTTGAGAATCTTCTGATTCTGTCAGGAATAACTTTGGAGCTACTTTTTTTTTTCAAGATTTTCTTTTTCTTTTTTCCATAGTTGCATATTTTCAGTTGTGGGTCCTCCTGGTTGTGGCATGTGGGATGCCGCCTCAGCATGGCCTGATGAGCAGTGTCATGTCCACGCCCAGGATCCGAACTGGCAAAACCCCGGACTACCGAAGTGGAGCACATGAACCCGACCACTGGGCCCTGGGGCCGGGCCCTGGAGCTGCTTTAAGTCATGCAAAATATTTCATTTGTGCCATCTTCAGAAGTATTTGAGCCTTAACACATCCAAATGTTTGGACTCAT